TACCAAGGGGTGGAGATCATTTTGCAGGGGTCAGAAGACAATTTTCTGTAAAGAACCAGACAGTAAACAGTTTAAGTTTTGCAGGCAAGATGCTCTCTGTCACAACTACTCTGGTCTATAGTTGTACAGGAAAGGCAGCTTTGGACAATAGGTAAGAGAATGGGCATAGCCATATTCCAACAGCATTTTATTTGCAAAAATTAGCTGGCAGATCAAAACCACAGTGAGATACTACTTCACAGCCACTAACGTGGCTAGATTAAAAAAGCCAGGTTAGAAAAATGTTGGTGATGATATGGTGAAATTGGAGACCTCATGCTCTACTGGTGGGAACGTAAAATGGTGCAGCCACTTTGGTAAATCTGGAAGCTCTTCAGACATAGAGTTACCATTTGACCCTGCAGGTCCTCTTCTAAGCATATATCTAAGAGAAATGAAAACTTATGTCCACATAAAACTGTGTAAATGAATATTTATAGAAGCATTATTTATAATAGCCAAAAGAAACAACCCAAATGTCCACCAACTGATGAATATCTAAACAAAAGGTGGTATATCCGTACTATGGAATATTACTCAGCCCTTCAGGGATATTTGGCTGTCTTGGGAAATTTTGGCGCCATCTAGTGGCTGAAATAAGGAATGCTGCTAAACATCCTAGGATGCACAGGATGGCCTCCCCTCACCCTCCCATAACAAAGAATTATCAAGCTTAAAATGTCAATAGGGCTGAACTTGAGAAACCCTGGTGTACATATGTACATTATATGATTAGCATTTGTGCATATGATTTGCGTATCAGCATTCTGTGCATATGATTTGCTTTCTCTCCATCTTACATTATATTATAAAACAGCAGCAGTTTAAACTAAGACCAACAAGCATATGGAGAATGCAGAAGTAGCCAGGCCTCAAAACCAGCTGGGCAAGCAGCAGTAGTATACTTTGCTCATGAATTTGAAATGAAGGTGCAAAGTCAGTGCTAATGGCCAGATAATGATTCTAACACCCTGTGATTAAGTACAAAGTGCTAGGGAACTTTCGTATAATGAGGTATACCCCAGCTGAGTCAGGTGGTAAAGCAATAGAGAAAGTAGTAAAGTTACATAAATTGGCTTTGAATTAGGCTTGTGATTATGCTTCTTGTCTTAATCCGTTGACCGCTTGGAAAGCATGAACAACAAAGAGCTGAATTTGTAATTTTTTTGTAGAGCTTTTGTAGAACTACAAAATTGTAGAAAAATTTTGTTGAAAGAAGGAAATAGGGTGTTTTCTTTTGTTGTTGTTTCTTGGCTCTCTGCCTCTGTATTACTTTAAGGGAGAGAAGGAAAATGCATGAGATAAGAGAGAATGAAAGAAAGTGGAAGGCAAGTGGAGGGAAGGGAACAGATTTTATTATTAATAAAAAAAAAAATGTTTAGGGCACCTGGGTGGCTTGGTCGGTTAAGTGTCTGACTTCACCTCAGGTCATGATCTCACAGTGTGTGGGTTTGAGCCCTGCGTTGGGCTCTGTGCTGACAGCTCAGAACCTGGAACCTGCTTAGGATTCTGTGTCTCCCTCTCTCTATGCCCTTCCCCAACTCTCACTCTGTCTCTGTCTCTGTCTCTCTCTCAAAAATGAATAAACATTAAAAAAAATTTTTTTAAAAAGGGGGTTGTCATCCTCTCTCTCACTTTAAAAAAAAAAAGTTAAAGTCATCCTAAAAGGAAATTAATTATTTCACTTTTCCTTACATGCGACTTAATAGCTCAGAGTGGTCTCGATGCCAATAAATAAAGATATTTTGGAGGAATGGAAAGAGTTAAGGGAGCTATCCCCAAAGTTCCTATGTTTTGTTAAAAATTTGATACGAAACATTTCTTTTTATTTATTTTTTAGTTTTGTGAGGGAGAGAGAGAGAGAGAGGCAGAGAGAGAGAGGGAGACAGAGGATCCAAAGCAGGCTCTGTGCTGGCTACAGAAATCCTGATGTGGGGCTTGAACTCATGAATCACGAGATCATGACCTGAGCTGAAGTTGGCTGCTTAACCAACTGGGCCACTCAGGCACTCCATGAAACATTTCTGATAAACAAAAAAATTATAGAAAATAGTAAAATAGACAGAAATATACCCATTGCTGAGATTAAATACTTGTTAATATTTTGCTAGATTTACTTCTGATCTTTCCTTTTAAATAAATAAAACATTACAGCTACTTCAGCTATAAACTTTCAGCTTTAATTCCTCATCTCTTCTTTCATTCCTCTCTGGAAGTAGGTGGTTTTGGGGCATATTTCCCTTGTGCTTTTACACACACACACACACACACACACACACACACACTATGTATACATATACATATATCTTTATATGTATGTATTTGCCACTTGATTTTTCTCTTTATTATTGAGCTATATCTACATGTAGATCTAGTTATTTGGATACAATATAGGATTCTACCGTATAATAAACCTCTGTGTGTTTTATTCTTTCCATGACTGCAGGATGGTTAAATAGTGTTCAAGAAGTATCTTTGTATGGGCATCTTTGGGCTTCTGCAGGGACCCATGTAGATGAGGAAGTGCAGGGTCACAGATACACGGACGTTCAGTTCACGTTTACTAGGTGTCACCAAGTTGCTGTCCAAAGTGGCTATACCAGTTTTGCACTCGTCATCTTTGTAGGAATCCATAAATTTTGGCCAAAACTTGGTGCCAAGAGACTTTGTACTGTTTACCAATCTGAGAAGGGTAAAACGGTACCTCATACAATTGTCATTAAAAAAAAAAAATAGACTGAGAATGATCCATCCCTTCCCTCAACTTTTCACACCTTTCTCTCTTAGATAGTCATGAAGAGTGAATCGTCACAACAATTGCAATAGTAATTGTCTGGATTTGAGACTGAGCAGAAATGATAAAGGAAAGACACACATTTTTGGATTCCAAGCTTCTGGAGTCCTGCCTATTGTCTCCATAAGTTTAGTCCCAACCCTGTGCACCGAGCCTGGCACAAGGAGCGTGTCCAAAACTGTTGCTCAGTGGGATGTATCATCTTCTTGCGGGGGTGTCAGAATGGGAAGCAGTGCATGCGACTGTGAAGTTTAAGTAATAAACAAGTTAAAAATGTATTTTTAAAAATGTAAAACGTAGAGAAAAGCGTTTTCACAGAGACATTGCAGTTGCAATTGATTTCTGAGAAAAATTCCAGAGTGATCTATGTGAAACCTGAAAATTAATTATAATAACTTCTGTTTATTTGTACATAGTACTCTTCTACATGCCAAGGACTTGAGAAAGAAAAGAGCAGTCCCTCACATCAGGTAACTAGTCTGACACTTACAGCAAGGGCTCAATGTTTTTAAAAGCTAGCCTGACACTCACAGCTAAGCCATGTTGTTCCCTTATAGACATAAACAATCTCACAGAACACCAAAATCAGATAAGGGCACTTGACCTTGCTGTTGTTTGTGCATAGATAAAATTGCAAGTGGTTTTGGGTCTTGTTTTGTCTCTCTTCAAGGCAGAGTGCCCTTATCTCATAGATATCTCTGAACAACTCCACTTGTTCAACTACAGGTCTTTCTCCTGGTGGTCTTTGGTGGGAGACGCTTTCACAGACATTTCTATCTCATTTAAGCCTGTTAGCTATTATTATTATTATTATTATTATTATTATTATCCCCTTTTGCAGATGGGAAGGCAAAGAAAGAAAGTTTAATGTCATCTACATCAGATAGCCCGTAAATGACAGGGATAAAACCTGCCACCTGGGTCTAGTGGTCATTAAGACCTCATGAATTACTTCAGTTCTCCGGACCCTGCTGTTCTCCTGGGTTTCCCCCTAAAGATTAGGTGCTCTTTGAAGAAGGAGACTGGCACAGAAAGTCTGGTAGAGTAAAAACAAATAGACATTAAAAAACAAAAGAAAATCCAATGACTATAGCCTGAGGCTTACTTGCTAGTAAGGTCCCTCTTCTGAACCTCTGTGCCAATCTTCCCAGTTACTTGTTTCTTGTCCCCAAATCAGTACTGCATGTTTACCAGTCTTGGCCCACACCACCTCTCTGTAGTCAGAAGTTGGATAACTTAAGGCAAGAGTTCAAAGGAAAAGATGACTTTAAAAGGGGGAAAAACACAGTGTTGTGTGGGAAAACCCTAATCTCGAGGCTTGCCCTTCGGCATACATAGCAAACTCACTCGCATGGTTTCAGCTCAAGGCCCTTCACTGCAGGCTCTTGGAAGTTTTCGGCTCTATGCTCTTGAGTGCTCTTGGCCTTGCTTCCAGCTCTGAATGCCTCACATCTGATGTCTTGCCACTCTTGCCTGCCTAGTGAAAATCCATGGACTCTTACTTAAGCCTTTCCAGCTCTGCTCCTTCAGATTTAATATTCCCCCTCTTTGTTCTCAATGAGCCTTTAAAACAACTGCTATACATTTGTGTTATTTTGTTATTTGTGTAAGGGTTTGTGAAGCACAGATGTGAGCTCCTTAAGGACGTGGCCTAGACCTTTCTGATTTGTAGTGGGCTCCTCTACCACTCCAGATAGGGCTCTCAGCAGTTGGGTACTCAGCAGGAGCTCGGTACATCCAGGCAACATACTCTCGGAGCGTTCTGATTGCTGTTGTTCTCACCTGCCTTTCAAGGGCAGATCCTAGAACTACTTTTCCCAGTGGCCATCGCACCAGGGCGTCCCGAGTGGGGCAAGAGAGGGTTAGCAGATGATTTCACATTCCAACGCTGCTCGAATGGTGGTGCAGAGGGTCTCGCTTGCCTTTCAGCTTAGCAAGAGCCGGTTCTCCAAATTCCAAATAAACGCAGACAGGTAACTTCCTAATAGGTTTTCCGCGCTTTCGCGACCTAATCCCGCCCTTGCCTTTAAGGTAGCTGCCACGGCTGAGTGGCGAAATGAACGGGCGGCACAGCCAATCATGTTTCGTTCTGCCCGGAAAAGGCGGATCCCGGGAATGTCTTTGACGAAGGGGCGCGGGATTGGCGGGTCCCGAGCCGTCAGCCGTGGCGGGAGTTTTCGGATGTGTTGGCGGTGGCCCCGGCAGCAGCAGTTGGGCTGAGCTGGGCCCGCACGGCTGGCGGCGGAACCGGGAAGGCTAATCCGCCGCAGATTTCCGCGCTCACAGCTTGTGGCTTGCATTTCAGTCGCCTTCTTTCCGTCCCCGAGAGCTGCGCAGAAAGATGGATCGGCACCGGCCTCGGCTGCACCACCCGAAGCAGGGCTCGGCCGCCGGGGCCCCCTACCCCTCCTCAGCCTCGCTCCGTAGCTGCCGGGAAAGCAAGATGCCGGGCCGGAAGGGCCCTCAGCACCCTCCGCCCAGCGGCGCGGAGGAACCTGGAGAGAAACGCCCCAAGTTTGTAAGTTTCGCCTGGAGCTTTGGTGGGGCAGGTCCTGCAGGGCCGAAGGGCTGCGTCTCAGGTCCCAGGATCCTTCAATTTCATGAAACTCTGACTTGGCGGACAGCCGAGTGGGTGGGTGGGTCCACGGTGTAAACAGGAATGGGTCGGGGGCTACATTTTGTTCTAGATTGCTAGAGCTTCCAGTCTCCTAATAGATTTACGACGACAGGGTCCAGTTGGACCCACTGCCAAATACACTCACTGGTCACTGTGTTGCCCCACATTTGTTCTGGCTGACATGAAAAGCAGTTCAAATGTGAATGTATTGACGTCACCTAGGTGAACCTTGCATTTTTTTGAGTCGAACTTCTCCCCACCCTTCTGGCTTCCGAGGGGATGAGACATAGCAAAGTGAACTTTTAGGGGGTAGTATTTCTTTTTCTGCTGTAATTTTCCAAGGAGAAACAACAGGTTTTAAAACTTGGCGGGCTATGTAGTCACTGCTAAGGAATGTTTTGTTTATATTGGAAAGAAACTCGCTATTCTGGTTGCTTCTCTTACTTTAACACCCAAGGGAGATGTCATGATCAGCGGTTTGTGAATCTTTTTGTTGGTGTCCACTAGTGAAAGAATAGGCAGTGATGACTGCTTTGTAAAAATGTGTGTAAATAAATCACAGAAGGTTAATAGATTTGGGATAAATCTAACAATTGAAAATTTAATATTTGACCCCTCCATTTAATTAGGAATATGGAGTTATGGAATATAACTTTTTCAGTTTTAGGCACCGTTATACAACACAGCATGTGCCTTCTGTGAACAAATAAATCTCGTTAGGAATTTAAGTCAGGATACATACCTTAAGGGAATAGACATTTGTGGAGCAGGAGTGAGTTGCTAACAATTAAAAGTAATGGTTGAATAAAACTGGGAGCAGAGCTATGAGATGTATCAGAATACTGAAAATGAGGGACAACATGGATTAATTTTTCTAAATTAAGTAGCAAGAGGGCCATAGGACTGGCAGAATTTGCAGGAGGGTCAACTATGTTGTTGATTGTTTTGTTGGTAGAGTTGAGTTAAATTGGCGAGGCAGGATTCTAGCCAATATGAGAAGAATCCTGGGGCAATTACTTTTCTTCCTTTTAGAGTCTTTTGCTTGGGTTAATGATGTCATTCCATTTTGTTTCTTCTATGCTCCAGAATACATGAGGTATTTTGGATTTTCGTTTGGATTTTCTGTGACTTCCAGCAAGGAGGTTATGAAAACAGAAGTGAAATAATTAATATTTAGGTTTAGTTTCATTGAAGGATGTATCTACATGATTTGGATTCTAGCTCTTCTCTAGCTCTAGTTTTTCATTTCTTAAGTATGTTGTTTTTATATTTTTTTAATTTTTATTTATTTTTGAGAGAGAGACAGAGCGTGAGCGGGGAGGGGAAAGAGGAGGAGACACAAAATCTGAAGTAGGCTCCAAGCTGTCCATGCAGCTTGAACTCAAATACAATGAGATCATGACCTGAGCCAAAATCAGACACTTAACTGACTGAGCCACCCAGGTGCCACTCTTAAGTATGCTAAAAGGGTTATTGTAAAGATGAAAAGACCTCTAAAAGCAATACTTTGAAGCTTTAAAGTTAATAAACATATCTAAAAATACAGTTTGTTTTTATTTTTTATTTTTTTAATGTTTATTTATTTTTGAGAGGGAGAGAGAGCACGTGAGAGGGGGACAGAGGATCCAAAGCAGGCTCTGTGCTGAGCCACCCAGATGCACCCAGTGTTTGTTTTTAGATAGGAGTCTGATTTGAATCATGTCTTCATAATTAGTTTAGAGGTAATTTGGACTGTTTGTAATCCCTGAAACTAATTTAGATACTTACAGTTTCTTTAGCTATATTTTCCATTTCACTAATTCTGTTATCAGAGATAACTTGCTTGGAATATTTAACTTGCTTGGATATTTAATTTAACTTGCTTGGAATATTTAACTTGCTTGGAATATTTAAGTTTAGCAATTACAGTTGCCTGTTGAACAACATGGGTTTAAACTGCACAGGTTAACTTAATGCATGGATTTATTACAGTGCAGTACTGTAAATCTGTTTTTTCTTGCTATTTTCTTAATAACATTTTCTTTTCTCTAGCTTTGTTGTAGGAATACAGTAGATAATCTATGAAATATGCCTTAATTGGTTATCAGTAAGGCTTCCAGTCCACAGAAGGCTATTGGTAGTTAAGTTTTTGGGGAGTCACAAGTTATACATGAATTTTTGGCTGTGTGAGGACTGGAGCTTCTAACCGCTGTGTTGATCAAAGTCATTTGCTATGTGACTTTTTAATCTTTATTTGATAGTTCTGTTATGTGCACTTTTTGGACTATCTACATTGATTGCACCTGATGGCTTACTACTCTCTCTTCCCATGCTTGTAAGCTCATTGCTTTATCTTAGCCTATCTTCCAAGAGGCATTATGGGCGATGCTTTTCTCAGAGTGCCACTGATTTGGGATCACCTCTACCTGAAGTAGGACTCTTAGGGGGCTTTAACAACCCTAACTCTGTTTCTGGCCTGTGTCTCAGTATGCCAGGCTGAAGGCTGCCTTCTGAGTAGCTCTTCCCAGTCAACCTATTTCACACCTGTTCTCAGTCTCACCCTAGTAACTCTTGTTTTGAGGATGGAGACCATCCCTTCCTCATGAGATCTTAGCAATGCCTCTACAAGTGACTGTTCTGTAGTTCAGTTTGCTGTACTACTAGATGTCAAGGCACTTCTTGGCTTTTGCTTGAGTTGTTGGGGGCAGCTGCTTTTGACTGGAACAAGCAACAGAGTGGTGATACGACAGGAAAGGCGATAATATAGGTGTTTAGCACATTCCACAAAGCTGCAAGCTGGTAGTAGAACTGAACGGTAAATTGGCCACTTGCTCTGTTCTTGGGTTGGAAGGCATGAGCTCTGGGGCCCACTGAAATCTTGGTTTACTTTAAGCCCTGGTAAAGCAGACCAGTCCTTGTTTCCTACTGTGTGTTTAGTCGCGAGTCTCAAGGTACTGTTGCCTTGTGTATACAAGTTTGTTGTATAGAATTTCTCCCCATAGATCTGTGTAAACAGAAATTCATCTGTTGTGAGTGTAGGACAGTTTGGCCACACAAGAAATCCACTACTTTGGGGCTGCTTGTGAACTAACCGACTTGATTTCTGTAGAAAATATGGCAAGCAGTCAGTATTGAGATGCTGAGGCTAGTAACCGGGGACAGGATGAAACCATAGGAGATTGGCAGGCCAAGGCAGGTACCTGGATGAAGGCTTTGCGAAGGTAGAGTTCAGTAGGATCATGAAGTTTTGTCCTGCCGTAGGTCACACTCATAGTACCTGAGCCTGAGTCCTGTTTCCCTTGTAGAACAGAACAAAACAGTTGCCCTACTTGACGCTGGGCACTTCAGTCCTACTCTTACGAACACACAGTGCACAAGGTGGTGGCCCCCATATCTGTGTTGAGAGCAGGATGTGTGGCTTCCGGAGAAGCCGTGGGTCAATGTTTTGACAGGAGGCCTGTATGTTTGGTGGTCCCAGTTGGCAGAGTGACTCTTCTTTTTAATTAGGAATATCCTTTAAAAGTTGTCACAGACTTTGGTGTAAATCTTGCATCTAATCTTATACTTTCCATTGAACAGATTGTTCATTATTGTTTAATTATGTCATTACTGTACCTTCAATTTTGGTTGTGAGAGATATTTCACCCTGTTCAGTAATATATATGTGTCTACCATTTTGGACATCATTACTAATAACAGTTACTTTAATAAATGAATGAAGCTCTGTTCTAGGTACCATATATGTGTGTGTGTGTGTGTGTGTGTGTGTGTGTGTGTGTGTGTGTATATATGCACCATATATATGTATATCAACTCCTTTAACCCTTACAACAACCCTATGAGGTATGTGGTATTATTAGTCTTGTTTGCTGGATGGAAAAAGCAAAATACAGAGGTTGAATTGCCTTAGGTCATACAACTGCCTGTTGCTGAGGACAGGATTTGAACCTTGGCAAGCTGTCTCCTACATTCTTAGTCACTGTCCTGTATTGCTCTTCTATGCTGTTGGGAATTTTAACCTTAAGTACAGAATTAGTGATTTCCTGATTACAGGCAGGTTGTGAGGTGGCAGGAGGAATCCAATGGGAGAACTATTGGAGGAGGGGCAACTGAAATTGGAGTAGGCATGATGGGATTAGTGCATGGCCACCTCTTGGCTTTGGGTTCATTTGAAGGCAGCTGTGGCAGGCTGAAAAATGACCCCCCCCCCCACCCCCTATAGAAGATAACCAGGTCTTAATCCCTGAAACCTGTGTATGTTGCCCGCCATTGCAACAAAAAGATTTTTAAATTAAGGGTTTTAAAATGGGGAGATTACTCTGGATTACTGGGCTGGGCCCTACATGCAAACAAACATAGGTGTCCTTGTAAGAGGGAGGCAGGGGGAAATTTGACTACAGAAGAGGAGAATGTGATGTGACTCAAAGGCAGAGGTTAGTGGTGCAGCCACAAGCCAAAGAATGCTGTCAGCTCTAAGAAACCAGAAGAAGAAAAGAACTGGTTTCCTCTAGAGCTTCTGAGGGAGAGCGGTACTGCTAACACCTTGGTTGGAGCCCAGTGAAACTGATTTCTGACTTCAGGCTTCCAGCACTGAGAGAATACATTTTTGTTCTGAGCCATTAAGTTTGTAGGAGTTTGTTTTGGCAGCCACAGGAAATGAACACAACAGGCGTAGTTATGAGGGTGACCATGTTAAAAGGTTTGGTTTACCAGTTCATCCATGTGTATTTTAGGAGAACTGTCAGATTCACCTAAATGTCTTCCTTTTGGTAACATTTTCTTTTGGACCGTGATTTGGGGGGATATAAGATAACAGTTTGGTCCTCTGGAACAGCAGCTAGAACTTGATTCCAACTTGTTCTGCTGCCTCATTTTCGAAGTTGCTAGAAAGCTGAGAAAAATGTGGAATTATTTTTGTGTGC